TCGAGTCGCCTGCGACTCATAGCGACCCTATGTACAACAGCCCTAAACTCCGCTCTGTCCTGTGCCAATTGCACTGTCTCTGACACTCCCATCCCAATATTCTCTGCCAGTCCGTGGGATATCACAATTCACAAACATTGATTCTTCTTCATTCTTCCTTATCCATTGCCCATCTTTCACATGCATATGAAGACATCTTAGTCTTTATATTTGACATTCTTGCTCTTTAGCACTTTGGAAAGGTTTTTGACAGTACTTTACCTCAAAGCAACAAATCTTTTGTTTTCTTGACTGCTCTTACCATGAGCGTTGGTTTCAGATCCAAGTAAAACAAAATCCTTGACAATTTAAATATTTTCTCTGTCTATCATGATGTTGTCTATTGATCTGGATGGGTTTTTCTTTTCCTGTTGTTGAGATATAAAACATATTGGAGGCTGTAATCCTTGGTCTTCTTCAGTAAATGCTTCCAGTCCTCTTTCTGAAAGCAAGATATGTCATCTGCATAGTGAAGGTTGTTGAGCCTTCTTCCAACCCTAATGCCACATTCTTCTTCATATAGTCTAGCTTCTTAAATTATCTGTTCGGTATACATTTTGAATATGTGTGTAGAGCTATGGAGTAAGGATACAATCCTGACACACTTTTCCTTATTCTAAACCATGCAACTTTTTGAAGAAAGCAAAAAGTCGTTTAAAAGAAAGCACAATGTAGTAACATTTTTAAAATAAATTAGTATAATAATGTAAAAAGATAAAAAGACAGAAAAGAAAGAAAAATCAAAATGAATGTCAGAAGAAACTGAAAATTGCTCTTGATTGGAAAGAAGCTAAAGCAAAAGGAAGAAACAGGGAAAATTGAATGAATTTGTTCAAATTTGTATTCGAGTTTTGTATATAAACTAGTAGAAAAAAAGGAAATAAATAAGAGTGCTGAGGAGAAGATATTAAGATAATCTTTCTTTCTTTAGATTATCATTTGTCAGTATGAATTTTTTTACTCTTATTTTTAACCTAAAACCAGTTGCCATTGATAGGATTCTGACTCATAAGTGAGTCAGGGCAAAACTGTGTTCCATGGCGATTTTAATGGCTGGATTTTTTGCAAGTGGATCACCAGATGTTTCCTCTGAGGTGTCTGTGGATGGACTCAAATCTCCAACATTTTTGTTTGTAGTTGAGTATTAACTATTTGCGTCACCTACAAACTCCACTTTTAATCTATCCGTTCTGAATAAAGTAGACTTCTTGTAGACAAAGATAGCTTGTATCGGCTTTTTCATAAGGAGCACTAGTGGCTTGATAGTAAGGAGTTGTGCTGCCAACCCGAAGACAGGCAGTTCAAATCCATCAGTTGCTCCACAAGAGAAAAATGAGTCTTCTTTTCTCATGTGATTTACAGCCTCTAAAAACTCGCTGGAGGATCAACAATAGCTGAATCAGTTGCAACTCAATGGCATACAACATTGGTTTTGTTATCCAATCTGATACGATTTGTCTTTTAATGAAATTTAGTATGATTATTTAGATGTTGCTATTGTTAGATGCCATCAAGGAGAATTTGACTTGTAGGGACTCTCTGAATAACAGATCTGAACCCTGTCCCATCCTGTGCCATCCTCACAATCTCTGGCACACTTTAGCCCACTGCAGCAGTTACTGTCTCGATCTACTTGGTTTAGGGTCTTCTCTTTCACTGTCCCTCCACCTACCCATGCATCATGTCCCCTTCCAAGAACAGCCTCTCCTAGCAACATACCCAAGTATATGAGACAAAGCCTTATTGTCTTTGTCCCCAAGGAGCACCCAAGGAGCATCCTTTTGGTAGTCAATTCAGCACCGTTCAGAGGCATAAATTCTTCTTCTGGCATCCTTAGCCATTGTCCAGCTCTCAATCACAGCAGCATAGCAAATAATTGAAAATACCATGGCCTGAATCAGACACACTTTAGTCCTCACACTAACATTACTGCTCCTCAGTAATCTGGAGAGGTCCCTGACCGTAGATGTTGATCCCCGATTGCTGGTACCAAGTATATTATTGTGGATCCAAGTAAGTTGAAGTCATTTACCAATACTTTGTATTATTTTTAACATGTTGGTAACTCTAGTAATATTAGGTTAAGTACTATTACTATCACCACTACTTTACAGAGAGAAAACCTAAAACTCAGGGAGTTTAACTAGCTAATAAAAAAGCAATAGTTCTTAAAGTGTGATCCTTGAAATAATTTTAGGGATATGCTAGATCAAAGTAATTTCATAATAATGTTGCTGCTTTTATTAGGTGTTGTTAAGTTGGTTTCATTCAATTAGTATTCTCTGCATATCACAGATTACTAATGCTATCTTTCATCACTACTGATTCTTCATTCTTCTTCATGTAGTCCAGTTTATCTTATTTTCTCAGCATTCATATAGAGTAAGTATCGTGAAAAAAACAGAACCCTGGAACACAACTCTCCTAATTTTAAACCACGCAACATGCTCTTTTTCTGTTTGAAAAACTATCTTTTGGATTATGTACAAATTTTGCATGAGCATAATTAAGTGTTCTGGAATTCCTATAATTCATTATGTTTCACACAGTCTAATGTCTTCACACAGTCAAGAAAACACAAATGACATCTTCCTGGTATTTTTTCTTTCAGACAACATGCATTTGACATCATCTATGACGTCTCCCTCTCAGTTCACATCCTTTTCTGAATCTCGCTTAAATGTCAGGTAGTTCTCTGTCATTGTTCTGATGTGACCATTTTTAAATTTTACTTGCATATTATATTAGTGATGTTGTTTGATAATACATAAATATTATTTATAATATTATCAAGATGTTCCTTGCAATCCTTATTGTATTGACATTTGTGCTAAGAGTAAAGATGGATAAAACATCTGAACATGTATCAAGGCAAGGACACTAAACAGCACTGTGAATGACTTTGTTCTTTACCTTTGTGTGTTAAGTAGGTTAAGAAACACCAATTTGACTTATTAATATTGTTAGTGAAATAGTTTATTATTAATTATGTTAATTATTCACCTGCCAGAGCATATAATTTTATTATGCAGTATATTTTTTTAAATGAGAACTACACTTACTGCACTTCTGCTGCCTTGAGGAAAAACACATGTGTGATTATTTAACTTGCAAACTGACCTTGACACACTTTCCATGAGACATCAGTTTTACTTAAAATAATAGCTAACAGAAAAATTATGATTAATCAGACTCGATTGCATGGTGAACATTGTCTTAAAAAGTAATGAAGTGAACTTGTCACTTTAAAGGAAACAATTGACATTATTTGTTGAAAACACTGATGCATATTTAAGCAAAAATGGAATGAAATTTAGTAAAACTGAATATTCTCTACTATGAGCCTGACAACGTCCTAATACTTCCTGACTTTCTGATGAAACTGGTGATGATATTATGAAAGAAGATTGCTTGATACTGAATAAAGAAAAGTGTCAACATTTGGAAGCCTCCTTGATTCAGTGAGCACATACTTTCCAAATGAACGGTGCCTGATGCCACAATACCATGCATTGATAAAAGAGCCAGTCAACGCACAAGGTAGACAAATTAATTTTAATGTAATGAAGAAAAACGTTCATAATTATGATTTCAGATTTCACATTGCAACTAATCTTGCAACTTTTCCAAGTTTGTACTATCAAAGAGGAATATCCAGGAATTAACTGAGAACACTATCGAAAATATTGCTTTACATATCTGTGTGAGACTGGATTTTCTTTACATACATCAACTAAAAAAGATTTATTGCAGCAGATTGCATGCAGAAGCAGATAGGAGAATCCAGCTGTCTTCCATTAAGCCAGAGAGTAAAAGTATTTGCAAAAAATATGTGAAAACAATGTCACTCTTCTCATGTTTTAAAAAGTAGAATTTTTTTCCATAGGAGTGTTGGGGAGAGAATGTTAAAAGAATGGGTACATAATGAATATTGCAATAGAACAGATGAAGGCAAGAACTGTCGGGAAGGAATATTCAATTAGGTATTATACGTATGATAACAATTTGGAACTAGGTGTGCATTGCAGGGTGGACTGGGGGAGGGGAAGGGGAGAAGCGAGAAGAAAGTAACAATGAATGAAAAAATAAAAATAAGAAAAAGAAAAAATTTATTTTTTCATAAAATATTGTATTATCATCTAATATGATTAGTATTGTTGCTCTAAGTGAATGGTTGAGTATTTTTAAATTTTCTCAGTTTTAGTGTTTGACGACAGTAACTATCAATAGACATGACTTACATAAACAAAAGCTCTTTAGGGCACGCAATAATTTTCAAGCGTGAAAGGTCCTGTGGTAAAAACATTTCAGAATGGCTGGTCTCAGACAACACACTTGGAAAGCTGTAATGCCGTGTGCTGTGTCCAGGCTCCCAAACCTCTGTTGTTTCCATGGCCTAATGCCACTTCCTTACCCAATAGTCTCTTCACTATTAAAACAGGAAATAGAACTGAGGTCCTCACACTTTAGAACTCCATTAGAGATTGAAAATGACTCTTTTTTTATAACAGAAGAAAATGAAATCATGTTTCCCAGATATTAATCATGTCAGACACAATCTATTGGGTCTATGCGGTACATTAAAAACCAGTTGGTGAAAGTTCTTTATTAGATTTGAAGAACAGAACAGGCATAATTCTGATTGTTTGGCTATGGGTTTATTTTTCACAGCTCTAGGGCTCAGGGACTAAAGCTGTGTTCTGGGGGGCGGGGTCCGGCTTTGCTGGGTGACATTCTCAGGAGGAACTCCTGCATGCCTCTCCTCAGGACGGCGTTCTCGGCTACCTCCCTCAGGCTCCTGTGTAGCTTTTCCATCTCCCTGTACTCAGTCTTGACATCTGCACAAGAGTGGACAACACGCCATCAGGAATTAATGTCCTTTTCAGAAACGGCCCGGAAAACAGATCCCCCAATAATTCCGTTATGACCTAGTCATGTATCCCAGAATGTGAGGTCTGGGAGGGTGCTTAGTGATCAGATATGTTAATCCTCTTGGTTTAGAAATAATCTGAATCAAGCCAGACATTCTTGCTCTTGACATCTTAGCGCTGGGTCACCCTCTAAAGAAATCTAAAGCTCTCCAGTTAAAAAAACAAAGCAACTCTGAGGAATCACTGGGGAAATTTACTCAGGCTCTGTGAGAGCCTCGTGGTGCAGTCTGTAGGGAGTTGCTCTGCTAACCAAAGGTGGTGCATATCTGGCCGTTTGAATCCACAAGTGGCTCTGCAGGACAAAGATAGGCAATTCCCTTCTGTGCAGCCTACAGCATTGGAAAGCCCGCTGAATAATCAGCTATGAGTTAGCTCCAACTTTATGGCAACGTGTCCTCTGTGTCTGTAACCGCTCAGTGGAAGGAGATACAGAGCATAACATACATCAATACGTTCCTACGAATCCTCTCAAGGCATTTCTTTCTCTCCTGTATCTGGTCCTTTCCTCCAAGCAATTGCTGTTCTAAATGAGTATGACCTATTTCAGCATCTCTAACCTTCATCTCATGATCAGCAATCTAATTACATCCTCTTTGAAGAGACACTTCACACACCAGCCTTAGGGTTGATCTGTCTGTTCTTGGTCCCAGTGTTGCTCCTGAATGTCTTTCAAATTTGAACTTTCTCCACTCTGGTAGCTAAGAGGTAAAAATTGTGCTGCCAATCCAAAGGTACGTGGTTTGAATCTATCAGCATGGGAGAAAGATGGGTAATCTCCTCCCACGCGACTCACTGCCTCTGAAAGCTGGCTGGAGAGTCAGCTATGAGTTGGTTCTGACTTGAAGGCACACAATAACCACCACTGCGCCACAGATATGACTTAGACTAGCTACCCAGAGCCTAGAATTCAATGGGACATATAACCAGGGGTCATCTTAGAACCTGTCTATTTTTCCAGGAGGCTTCTTTGCTCTCTGCATCTTAAATCTTAACTATGCTTCACAGCTCGGGTGGCTTAGTGGTAAGAAGCTGCACTGCAATCCTAAAGGCATGTAGTTTGAATCCACTAGCTGTTCCATGGGAGAAAGTTGGGCACTCCCCTCCCATGTGATTAACTGCCTCTGAAAATCTGCTGGAGGGTCAGCTATGGGTTGGTTCTGACTCAATAATACACAACAACAACGCTTCACAGCTAGGACTCCACTTCCTTTAAGCTTCTCTGAAGCACCAGCCCTATTGTCTTTTGAATTGCTAGAATAACTATCTTACACCTGTGTGACGCATCTCCCTTAGATCTTTGCTTGAACATCACCCTCTCAGGGAGACCTTTCCTCACCACTCCATTCTCTGCTCCCAGCAAGCTCCCTTCCCTTTTCTGCTTTATTTCCCGCAACAGCACTTATCCCAAGCTGGCATGTCATATATTTTACAGAGTGTTTTGTTACTGCCTGTCTCCATTCCAACTAGGCTATAAAGTTCCATGAAGACAGGAATATTTTCGTCTGCACTGTATTTTTGCTTGAACACTGTTTGGTACCTAGAAGGTGGTGGTAATTACTTGCTAAATGAATGCTGTTCAAATCCACTAGCTGCTCCATGAGATAATGATGGGCGGTCTCCTCTCATGTGATTTACTGCTTCTGATAAACCACTGCAGGGTCAAAGGTACATGACATGACATGACATGATATAACATGACATAACATAACATAACATAACATCATAACGTAACAACTCATTGCCATGGACTTGAATCTGACTTATAGTTAACTCTCCTTTGGGTTTTCAAGACTTTAAGTCACATGGAAGAAGATTATGTCTAACTCCTCCCCAAGCAGTGGCTGGTGGATTCAGACCACCTGAGAGTGTTGGCCTGTGAGTTACCAGCACAGCTTGCTATGAAATACACCACCAGAGCTCCCTATGGTCTTACCAATCAAATTGCAAGCTCTTTGGGGGTACTTTTTAGACTACCTGGCAACCTAGCCAACTGGCACAGTGGCCCTTACATAGCATAAAAATATGCTGATGATGTGAAGAAAATAGGCATAAGTTATGACAACAGCCACCTACATTAATGCTTTGCACCACCCAGAAATTCCATTTAAAGCTGCTTTAGTCAATGTACAATCCTCCTTTAGTGGTGTATTTTTTTAAGCAAGCATATATGCTATATTGTTGATTTTGTTTTTGTCGCATGGCTTTGGAAAACCCCCATGTGTTAGAGAATAGAGCTGCTCCACAGGGTTTTCCTTAGTTGTAATCTTTATGGGAGCAGATACCCAGGCCTATTTCTTCCTCAGAGAACTCTTGGATGGATTTTAACTGCTAACTTTTTTGGTTACAAGCCAAGTGCAAATTGCTCACTCCATCCAGGAACTGTGGATCTGAGTTTACTTGTGAACCAGTGCTTTACTGATAGACATTTGAGTTGTTCCACCTTCTAGAATTACAAGCAATGATACCCTGAATCACCGTGCATATGTGTCATTCTGCCCATGTTTGAAGAAAAATTCCTAGAATTGCAACTCCTGGTCCAAAGTTGTGTGCATTTTCAATTTGGCTAGTAATTCCCCAAGTGCTTTTTGGACCAGTTTATACTCTTACCGGTAATATATAAAGTTCTGGCTATATATCTAATGAACAAGAAAGTCTCAGACAGAGGAATTGGTGGGGCTGGACTAAACGGCCTGCATTTCTGCACGAGATGAACCCTGCCCAATGATCCACTCAGCAGCATCCATGTACATGACCCCAGAGAGTGGCAGGAAAGGAAGGTGACTGTTGTCTGTACTGGGCCCCCTGCAGCTGATGCTGCATTTACAGGCTGCTGGCGCATTAAGGACAACCTTTACACACACACACACACACACACACACACACAGAAAAAAAAGAGGAACAATTTTATGGACACAGCAAAGCAGTATTGTGAGAAGACAATATTTAAATTTGCTACTTTCTTTATAAGAAACCAAGGTGCTCAAATGACACTACAGTCAAATATTCAGCAACTAACCAAAGGATTAGCAGTTCAAAACCGCTTTCCCCCTAGTAGGTCTTGAAGAGAAGGAAGTTGTCATCTGTCCCCTTAAATACTATAACCGAGGACACCCTGTGGGGCAGTTCTCCTCCTCACATGTGGTCTCAAGGAGTTGAAGTCAACTAACACCCTAACTCTAAGGCTTAACAAGAAGACATTAGGAGGCCTTGGGCACATGCACATGATTTATTCTGAGTCTCTACTTATGCATCAGGAACCACTGAGAACTATTGTGAGGATCCAATGAGATGCTGCACAGAAGACCCTTGTACAAAGCTCAGTCTCAGATGCTCAGCACAGGGAGGCCAAGTCCTAACTCCCATCATCAGGTCTGTATTTGCCCTGGAAATCCTTCCTGATTTTTAGAAATTCAGTAAGGAGCACTCCTAGCTAGGTGTGTCTGCACGATCAGTCTTTACGCAATGTTTGAGTGTATTTACCTGCAAGCTCCTTGTAGAGGCCAACTTCCTGGGATGAAGCAAGGCTCAGCATGGTGGAGATACTCGCCTTCACCTTCTCTGTGATTCCATTCTAGATGCCAAAGGACATTCGCTCTGTTAGGGCCGCACAGGCCAAGCATAGTGCATTGTATAAAAAGAGCTCCAGACAAACTTCTGGAGTATAAAGGGTTACATAGTGGGGTTCCCAAATTCAAGATCAAGTCCAAGGAGGAGCCACTTTAGAAGACATTGAATGGCCCCAAGTGTCATGGGGGCAACAGTTACGTGGAGTCTGACCTGCCTCAGCACCTTCTTTCTTGTCTATCGAGGCTTGAAATACTGACTCCCAGAATAAAAAACTAACTAGGGTGCACTGAAGTGTGAGGAAGAAGACAGCAATTACAGAAAAGGGAAGAAACAGGAGAAGCACCATCCAAGCCCAAGTCTAGTTACTGGATAGATGTTGAAGAAGGATGAGTAAAAATAATCACTGTCCCCACACTGGGGAGTTGGGGAAGAATACTGACTACCCCGTGGACTGCCAGAAGAACAAACAAATATGTTTTGAAGGAAGTGTAATGAAGGGGTTCCTTAGAAGCAACTTCGTCTCTCACACTTTAAGCATGTTGTCAGGAGAAGTGGGTTCTTAGAAAGACGTCGTGCTGGGAAAGAGGGACTGTCAGAGGAAGAAAGGAAGACCTTCAACTGGGTGGATCGTCACAGTGACTGTAACAATGGACTCGAGCATGCCGGAGGCTGTGAGGACGGTGCAGGACAGTGCAAAGCTCAGATCTGCTGTTCATAGGGTCGCTGTGAGTCATAGTTGATGGGACAGCTCATAATAACAGGAACCTGATTCCTCTAACTTCCTGGGGGGGGGTACTTGTTAACCTCAGTTCCTTTATCTACCAAAAACTTTTCCCTATTCTAAACACATTGTACTTCCCTTTCAAAAACAAGGATGCCTTTCTCTAGCCTGGCAAAGTCTGGTTTTAAACCTGGACCTCCTTACATTATTGTTTTTACTTTTTTCTTCCACACTCAAATCAGGACCCAAAGTTTCAGGCTCAGTCCCACTTTTATGGAAATCACCCATCTCTATTGAGACCCAAATGATGATTATTTCTTCCACCATCTGGACCCACTTCTCCCATTCACCAGGAAACTCCCCGGGAGTGTAACGCAGAGAAGGGACAATACCTTCAGTTGTTGAAATTGGTGCTGCATCCTCTCCTGAGCCCTTTCAAACATGCCCTCTGCCACCTGCTGCTCCACTCCTCTCCTGAGGGCATCTTTCATTCTCTCACAGGCTTTTTTGCCAGTGATTTGAGCTGCCTCTAGGGAAAAACAAATGGTAATCACAGTCACTCCATAGCAAGGGCTTACTGAGAAATCTTTAGCATGAGGGGGAAAATATAGATGGGAGAGAGAGAGAGAAAGTTAGTTCATGTTTATTTCCACGATAGTGGAAATAGTTTTAATAAGAAATAATAAAACAACATGCATAATATCTAGATAATAACTATCTAATGAATGAATGAAGTGGAAGCTTACAAAATCCTGGCCCCCCAAGGTGGGCTGCCAAAAGGAGAAGCTGGGAAGTGAATTTACAAATATGTCAGTGAAAAAGAAAGAGAGCTGGCTAGTGGATTTTCCAGTTTCATTAGCTGAGAAGCAGCATGTAAAAGAGGAGCAGGGTGTCTAGACAAAGGCGGAGGGAAAGAACAGGAAACAAGCAGATCAAAATGGTCCACTGAAGACCTCTCCCCACACACCGGCAATCATCTGCCGGTGGTTTGTAGAATAGAGCATCGTATGAGATTTGAGATGCAGGAGGACAAATGCTGTGAGGAGAAATGGTGGGAAAGTCACTAAAGGAGTTGATAGCAAACAGAGGAAACGGAACTATTTCTTCCATGTAACCAAACCTTCATAGCAGGACTTCAGGTCGTTCTGAACAGAGGCGCTGAGAGACTCGTAGATCCTCCTCTTCTTCCTGAGGATGTGTCCCTCCAGGCCTCCCAGGATGGCGCTTATCTGAGAAGCCAGGTTAACAAAAGTCCACATGTGACCATCCCGTCAACAGACACAGGTTAGGCATTCCTGCATACGGCCACCATTTCCTCCTGCCTTATCCTGTGGCTGCTTGTTCACACATTTACTCCACCACTAGGCTGTAAACTTCTCATAGGCAGGACATTTGTCATAAGCATCTTTATATCTCAAAGGGCAACTTGTAGGGGAGAAGTCACAGTGCCTTACACCTTACACATCTCAACAAATGTCTGCTGAGTTGAATTTGGGAATGTGTGAGGCAGCCTTCAGTGCTGGCCCTCCTGCATGGTGCAAGACAAGCTATTTCTCTAGGACCGTCATACAAAGAAAGCGGCTTACAGAAAAGAGTTGTGAGTGCTCAAAACTAAAGAGTAAGCCACAAAGGGGGCACTTCATTTCTGTAAACTTCACTGCTTTGGAAAATATTTCAGAACACTGGCAAAACATGATAAATGATAGGTCGGTGAAGGTGTTACAAGTGATGCTGAAAGCTGTGCCGCTGGTGTGTCAAAAATTAGAAAGGTCACCCATGGTGGACAAGTTTTAATAGTTTAATAGTTCCTAGATTTAGACAGACCAGGAACCAAGACTGGCCATCCATTTCTTAAATAGCAGCCCTCTGAAAACCCTATGAACAATAGAGGAACGCCCCTATTGTTACGTGATAGTATTCGAGGTAGAGTCCAGATTGGAAATCAATTGAAATAAAGCAAAATAGCTGAAAACCATCCTTAAACATAGAGGGTTGGCAAATGAGAGGAAGATCCTCAACCAGACAGACTGACACTGTGACTACAGCAATGGACGTGAGTGTGTCAGAGATTGTGAGGATGGCACAGGATAGGACAGGGTACAGATCTGTTCATATGGACACTATGGGCCCCATTTTACTCAACAGCACCGAACAATAACAACAACAAGTTAATCAAAAGGTTGGTAGTTTGAATCCACTAAGGGTGGGTGGGGTGATGTTTGGAGGAAAAAAAATACCTCAGCAATCTGCCCTTGTAACAATTTCAGCCTAGAAAACCTCTGAAGCTCTTCTATTCTGTGACATGGGGTCACTACAGGTAGGAATCAACTCGATAGCACATACAACCACAGCAAGGCCAGATTCTGTGGGGAGTCCTTACATGCCAAGTCTACCTTCTACAGACTCTTGTATCACTGTGGGACACATCTTTCCAAGGTGCCCTATACCTCTGCTGCTATCTTAAGCCTGTTTTTCTTTCCTCTACCCCATGGATTTTCATGTGACAGCTCCTCTTACGTGGTAATTTCAGATCCTGGAAGCTCCAGGGGAACAAGCAGGAAGAGATAAACTCTAAGATCTTCAGAGCAGAAAGCTACTCTCCAAGTGTGCTGCCCTCTTCTGTTCATAAGGCACGTACCTCTTGGATCAGGAAACTTCTTTTGCAGCTATCATATTTCCAGCCATGTCTAATCCCAATTTCTGTCATTTTCTCCTGCAGAGAGTGTTTAAAAGCATCTATGTGAGGCATCAGGGCTGAGCCGGTGGCTTTCCCCGTCCTACAGAAGAAAATAAAACAGAATAGTCAGAGAGAACAATTTGTGAGGCTAAAAACAAACAGGAAACTAGCTGCTATTCTTTTAGTCTATTTTGAGCAAAAAAGAAGAGGTGGGAGATGGAGCAGTTACCAAATTCCTTTAATAAGGCAGAGATTGTGATCCTTTATGTAAGGGCCTTCACAAACAGTGTGAATTCCCATTTTATATATGAAAATAACTAAGGTCCCAAAAAGACTGCAGATGTGCCCAAGGTAGAGCCAGCATGCGACAAAACCAGAATTTGAGTGTTGATCTGCTTAACTGTAAAACTCAGCCTTTTCAATGTCAAGATACTTCCACTTAAAAGGGTAGGACTTGGAGTGCACTTCAAAAGGCTGGTATAATTTAGGAGTTCTGGTGGCCTAGTGGCAAGATGTTGCACTGCAATCCCAGAGGTACACAGTTTGAATCCACCAGATGCTCCACTGGAGAAGGAGAGGCATTCTCCTCCTGTGCCAGTCTGATGCAATTCAATGGTACATATACACACAAAAGAAAGAAATAAAAGATTTTTTTTTAAAAAAAATGCTTGGTATAATTTAAGAAAAGGAAAAGGAAGACTTATTCCCCATAGAGACAGCAAAATGAATGAAGTTTCAGAATATCACGGGAGCACAAACGAAAATTGTAGAGACTGGGGCTTTAGATCTCAGCTCTCTACTTAACAAGCCAGGTGATAACAGAGAAGGTGTGTAATTCACATAAATTCCAGTGCTTTAGTGTACAAGAACAACAAAGCAGAAGCCCTTTCAGAAGATTATTGGAAGAATTAGATAAAATAATAGATGCAATGGTCTTTGCAATCACTTGTTATGTGTTGGAGAGTTGGACAATGGCTAAGGAGGATAGAAGGAGAACTGATGCCTTTGAGCTGTGGTGCTGGAGAACAGTATTGAGGGTACCATGGACTGCCAGGAAAACAAACAGCTTCATCCTGGAAAGGGTTAAACCGGGAGGCTCCCTGGAGGCAAGGATTCTGAGGCTCCGTCTAACATACTTTGGACATGTTGTGAAGAGAGACCGGTCCTTGGAGAAGGACATCATGCTTGGGAGGGTGGAGGGACAACGCAGGAGAGGAAGGCCCTCTATGAGGTGGATTGACTCAGTGACTTGGGTAATCAGGGTGGGTGTGTTGGAGACAGTGCAATTGGCACAGGACATAGCAGAGTTTAGGGTTGTACACAGGGTCGCTATGAGTCGCAAGCGACTCGATGGCACATAACAACAACAACAACAACAACAATACATGCAAACTGTCTAGTGTGATATAGTTGTGCTTGCCTACATACCAGTTTGGCTACAACAGAAGGTTTATGCCTGGCAGTTGCGCAGGGAGAGATTAGAAAAAGCAGGTTGGAAGCAGGTGAGATGTTTTGAATGTTATTCTGAGGAAACTGGAATTTATCCTATTGTTGTTGATGATGATTGCCTTCCAGCACAACTCATAGGCACCCTATGAACAAAAGGCCTGAAGCATCTGGGACATCTGAGACGGGGACAGGAGGAATGACGAGATCCAAAATGTGTCAAGGAGTTGGGAATGGAAGGAGGAGGCAGTAAGACAGAAGCAGAGGTAGGAGGATGATCCAAACAGCGCCAGGTCACGTGAAATGCCAGTGGTGACAGACAGGGGAGGTTGGTGGTGGGCTGCTGCATTTGGGATTTGGAGGATTTTGGTTCTGTTGATGGAAAAAGGGATTAGAGACTAAAAAAGAAAGCAAAGAGGGGCACCAAGATGGGGCACCCCTCAGCTTCCACTTATCCAGGCCATCTTTGTGAGCATTAACAGAGTCAAAGACACCGAGAGTCAGCCCTGAACCATTTTTCCTTTTCACATTTGGGGAAAATTCTGAAGGCCCTATGTTTGTTCAACTCCAGTCTCTCCAACCAAAATACCCTGTCCTGGGCTCAGCTCCATAAGAAAATTGATCCCCTGCTGCATGTATGAGATTTTTAAAAAATAATGGGAAGGATAATATTAGTCTGAAAGCAACATCTCAGTGTCTACTGTAGGTCAGCATGGGAAATTTACAAGTACAGAGAACCAAGAAGGCTCTTGTGGTTTGCCAAAGATCAAACTACTTCTTATACTTGCAGATCAAAAGCACAAGATCTTAAAGATGAAACTGTGGCCCAACATTCTTCAAATATTTGTTCATAAAGGAGAAACATGCAAGATGTTTTACCTAAAAATGCCTCCAAAGATAGGGTCGATCTGGTCATAAATCGGCTGTGTGATGGCTTCATTCAGATCGATTCTTGCGAGAGTCCTGGAGGCATAGACACCATTTTTCACGCAAACAGCTTTCAGAGTCTGGTGAAAACCTTGGTTTCCTTTACTCCTCTAGAAAACGAAACAATAAATTAGGAGAGTTAGTAGGCAACAGTGAGAACATTATATTATCAGGATTACATTTATTTTGGCTAACTGGGACTCTCATCTAGAATCAAAGGGTAGAGACAATACAGTCTTTAAATATTTTATCAATAGAGACAAGTAAACAGCAGTCACTCCTCCAAGCTGACAAGGTCTGTATTCACCTTTATTTCTGCAATTCTGTATGGGCCTAGCATAGTACACTCCTAGCCATTGACAGTAGAGAAATGGTCCAACCATCTTTACATTCTCAACATTTGGCAAGTTTTGTTGTTGTTAGGTGCCATTGAGTACAACTCATAGCAACCCTATGAACAAAAGATCTGAACCTTGTTCTGTCCTGCACCATCCTCACACCTCCTGATAAACTAGAGCCCATTGCAGCAGTCATTGTGTTGATCCACCTGGTAGAAGGTCTTCCTATCCTTTGCCGACTCTCCATCCTTCCCAGTATCATGTCCCTCTCCAAA